AAATGTGTTTTTGGACTCATGTTATTATGGTTTTTGTTGCTGTGTTTTTTAAGGAGGCTCTATGCCCAACATGGGGCTTGAACTCACAACCTTGAGATCAAGAATTGTATGCTTTACCGACTTAGCCAGTCAGGTGCCTTCATGTTACTGTTTTTAAAGCCAGTCTGTTTTTTCCTAAATTATTACCAAAAAGAAGCAAAAGTGTTTTCTCCCGCTGTCTTATAAGTTCAGTGGAAGTCTACTATTACAATTTCCAATTGATCTATCGATTAATATTTACGGAACTCTTCAAATACCTCTCATGTGTTATACATCAGGATAGATTTGGATGGTATAAAGATAGGGTGATCAGCTCATCCCTTTTGCATGGAACTTTCCCAGTTATAGGCCTGAAAGTCTCATGTCCCAGGGAACCCCTCAGTCTCAGGCAAATGGGGATGACTGGCCACCCTAAGAAGATAAGATGCCTTCATGATCCAGAACTCAAGGATGTCCAAATCCTATCTTGTCTTTATCTTCATACTCCCCATGAGTCTCCTATAAAGGCCATATAAAGGAGAAACAGCAGCAAAGAGTAAATGCAGTGCTTTATTTGATTATTAGCTATTACTCAGCTGGGCTAATCCCAAGACCCCTCGAGAAAGGTGCAGTAAAGCTGTGATGGAGCACATGGTTGAGTCTAGAGACTCTGTACTCTCCTTCAACCCCAATCTAAAAATCTTAGAAGTTAAGATCCTTTGGCCTGCAGTGAAGTAGAAACAGAAGCAAAGATGAATGGCTTAGGTCTATGTGTGAGGAAGAAACACAAGACGCTGGCTTTGAGGGCCTTGGCTCAGTAGATCTCTCCCAGTCCATAAAAATATGATGCAGAAGAGAAAGCCACATACATGTGTATATGTGTTTTTTTGTTTTGTTTTTTTTTTACTGCTGAGTGACTCTTCTTATTGGTAAATATGGCCTCATCTACACTCTAGAATAATGGCATCTCTTGCCAAGGAAGGAGCTGGGAGCAGGAGTGTAAAAAGAGACGGAGACCTTCCCCCTGCCCGATGCTAAAACAAAACAAAGAGGCACGGAACTGTCAGTGTGAATAGGTAAAACCTCTGTAAGAATTCAACTTCTGAAGTAAAATCTTAAAATCAAAGCTTATTTCAAAGCAATAGAAGCCTTTTTAGTTTCTTTAGTAGACAATTTATTTTGATAAACTTGCTCAATAACAAAAATACAAGTGAAGAAAATTATGTTCATTTTATACAGTTTGTATTAACAATTTGTTTTGAAATTATTAATTGAAAAATGTTATAACCAATTAGAAAACAATTCTTAATAAAATTTGGGGTAATATACAGACCTTGATCACAAACTCTAAAATCTCTTGAGGTGATACAACTAGTTAAGTCCTGTGTAGGGAATGCAACCTACACAGGCCATGGTTTTCCTTCATATGTTTTTATCCTTCAAAAATTAGTTCTGAAAGACAGCTTACTGTTTTGAATTGTGAATGTAAATTTAATTTTTAAAAGAAGATCAAAGCAGGTTGATAAAACAGTTACTACAATCAGAGTAACTTGTGGCTAGTAGTCTTTTAATAAAGACAAAATAAATGCAACATGTTCTTCCCATGAAGCCCACGATGCGAAATGATAGCTAAGAGTATATCTAAAGTTAGTTTCCAATACTTTTTCAGGGCCTTTCCTCTAAATCAATAGATTGTATGTCATCAGGACTGTTTATTATTTTACTTAAGAGATTAAACAGTGAATTCACAGAACATCAAGCAGGGATATCAAAGCTTTAGGCAGAAGGGTAAAAACCAATGAAGTGTTTTGGTCATTTAGAACATTAAAAAAAAAAAAAAAAAAAAAAAAAAAAAAAAGAGGAGCCATTCTTCAAAAACAAAACAAATGGAAGAGAAAATAGGATAAGAACTATAAGAGTCAGAAAAGTTACGTACACACATTAACAACATAGAACATGGATTACCTTTGGGAAAAATCATACTGAAATGTTTGCTTTTAATGAATCCAAGATTTTTCATGTTTACAGATGTTTAGGCATGTTCAATAGGAGCTTCCAAAAATTTCAAACTAATTAAGTCTTGTGCAAATAAAACCTATAAACAGTTTTCAGCAGATTTTACAGTGATGTTCTTAGGTCTGAGAAGAATGCGCACACTCTAAAAACAATATAACAGACAAAAGTTTGACAAATGATTGCACCATAAAACAGTGTTTTATATACAGTTTACAAGATATGATTTCCTGCTATAAATTAATATCGTACTATGTAGTACTTATTATAGTGATCTTTTTAAAAAGCAACTGCTGACAGTTGTCTATCTTTTCACTTACAGAATTTATAGAATTTTAAATGAATCCATTTCATTGTTTGGTCTGGAAGAGTACAAAGATTTGACTTCACATACTACTTGATGGGACAATCTCAATCCTGGGTTAGAGTGCTGACTGGTTAGAGGGAGGGTTCCCCTATCAGCCCTTTGTGCACTGGACCTCCAAGACAATGAGGAAATTAAAGACATTTAATGGTTTGGGTAATAGATACAAATAAAACCTTACATTTTGTAATCTTATATGCAATACCACTGTAAGTGAAAGAAGTAAACAGTGGGGAAATTCTTAGCAGCTGAGAAACTTTCTCTCCCCATGCTTGTGATCCAGTTAAAAATATTTTGAGAAACTATTTACAATAAAATTCATCTTTTGGAAGAGAAAAGCTCTTGATCATATCATAAATTAATTTGAACCATACTTTGCTAACACTTTATCTCAGTGGTATTAATGGTGACAACCAAAACTTCCCTTCAAAGTGATCCATTTGACTGAGGACCAGTCAAATCACAATGGGAAGTGCAATCCCAAATGTCCATAGAACACATCCAGTGGTTTTCTCAGAATTAACTAGACATGATAATACTTGGGGAAGAACGGTCTCCTTCAGTCATTTCCCAAGACGTTTCTTTAACCCTGGGAAGGAAAGGTGTGACATTCCCCCAGAATACTCAAGGAATGCACCAGAGTGGTGGTTCACCTCTTCTGACTCCTGAGTGAGCTGGGACACTGGGGTTTTCTTTCACAATAAAATACTGCTGAGTTAACAGTAAGATATATGAATGTCAAACAAGCCAGTGTGAAACACGTCAGGCTCCTCCATTTTCTTCTTTGAATATCTGAAGAGGCAGCCACATCTCGGAAGTAATCATCTTATAATTTATAATTGAGCTCTTTTGAAAAAACAGTGCATTCATTTCTGTTTGTGTGAAGCATGGACTACACGGGACTCTAACTCTACTGGATAGGGACATCTGGGTTGCCGTTTCACTAAAAAGAAGAAAAACTCAGCTCCATTGCCAAGAAAGAACCTCCTGCCCCACATCTCAAACAGGAGATCGTCATAGTGTTCACCTGGAATAACAACTAAGCACTGATATGAAAGCATGGAAACGTGGAGAAGAGAAATACTGTATTTTAAAACTATTATGGATTCAAGGGTTAGTGGCAATGCTTCTAGGAGAAAACGTAAAGCTGTGGGTTTAGTACAGCCCTTTAAAGTAAATACAAAAATGTTAGCTTCTAGCAAACAAAGGCATATAGCATATAAAGAAAACATTGTATTGCTCAGGTTTTTGGTAAAGGAGATGTGTTAATAATGCATACAGATGAACACAAATTTCACTTTTATAGCAGAGTAAAGTTAGTGTTGTAGATAGCCAAAATATTATGAACTGACATTAGCAGTGAACTTTGTATTTATGTAAAGTTGTGTGCTTGAACACAGAAAATGCATTATTCGTGTAACAGACTAAGCCAGTAGAAAAAGAGAGCCTTTGTACAACAGACAACAGTTGCCAATAATTTAAATAGTGTCAAGATTCCCCAAATTATAACATTTTACATGATCTTACCTTCTACAATCATATACAAATAAATTAACCCTACAAAGAATTTTAGCTTAACTTAAAATTGGACCTAGAAAGGTATGGGATTATTTGTACCTATTACAAAAACCTGTTAAAATCAAGGGCTGCTACAAAGAATGAGGTAAACTGAAGACTCTCTCCACTACGCAGCCTTCAGATAAATGGCTTTTTTTTCTATTGAGTTCTAGGTTTGCACACCACAGTGTTTTGCTAGCAAAGCATTCAGAGTTCTCTTCCAGGAACGGTTTGCATGTGTGTGTATATAAATTTACACACACATACACACACACACACATATATACACACTGTATACTGCATCAGCAAAATATATATATTATATATATATTTATATAAATATAAGGAATATTTTCCCCACCCACCCACCCCCAACATGTTTCTTAGTGTTTGATTTTTTTTTTGTTTTGTTTTGTACACAGAGAATAGGGAATTTCAGGAATTTTACATACATTTTAGCAAACAAGTTTTGATCTATTGGCTTCTTGGTGTAGTAATGCAACAGCAAATCATTCTGGCACCAAAGGCTCATACCATTACAAGGAAGCTGTGAATACTAATTTCTTAGGAGGTGAGGCCAGCCCCACGTGAACTTCTCTTGCAAGCCTCTGGTCCACCATGATTCGTAAATACTTAGAGTTTGTTTTTTTTCCTCAATTAATCGTTAGACATTAAAAACGGAACAACAGAGTCACAAAGGGCCACATGCTTTTCATTATAAAGCATTCTCCTTCACTAGGTTGCTATCACAGTGCAGACCTGACTGCCTGAATATGCTCAGGAGATTTAGTCAATATTGTCTGTATTTGGTTATGGAAAAGGCTCTCCTTATTTGTTTGTTTGTTTGTTTGTTTTGTTTTTAAATCCAAAGTGCATAGTGAGAACAAATCAAAGCATTTTTTTTTTTTTCCTTTTCGGCATCAGTTTCATCTAAGCATCTTCCTATGAGAGGACTGCTCAGATGCCTTGCCTTTGTCCTCTCCCCTCCAAAAATAAAAAAATAAAATAAAATTAAAAATAATAAAAGAGTTGAGCAAATTAGACATTCATCAGCCTGGTAAACAAACTTTGCCAGCAAATAGAAGTCCTACTATAGTAAAGAAAATTGATAAGACAAAAAGTACGTATGATGACCCAACTACTGTGTTGTTGGGTAATTTATAAGGTTGACCTCCGACTTCATTGATGTAAAATCCTATTGGAAATATTAGGGCAGCCATACAGAAAAGGATCACTGTAAAACAAACCAAAACACAACATTAGTAACATGGTTTGGTGATGAAGAAAACAATGAAAATTTGGCACAAAGGAAGTTTAAAAGAAGAAGGGTTATGGGTTGATAACGTGGTCAAACCTGTTAAAACACGGCGCACTTGTCAAAGATTTACATATGCTATATATCACATAATATCCACAAAGCCTAACAATTAAATACAGTAAAAGCCTTTTATATAAGTGTTAGGACGATTTTGAATATCAGCATTAAGAAAGGCCTCCAAACCTACTAAGTGCTTACGTAGACTATTCTTTTTTTAACTTTAATTTAAAAATATCTTAATTTCAGTATATTTAACATACAGTGTTACATTAGTTTCAGGTGTTTACATAAACTATACTTGACCGTTTAATGTAGTGATTAAGGGCTCTGACTAGAATCAGATAGGGGCTATGTTCTGGCTCCACTATTTATAGCTTAGCAATCTTAGGCTTCTGGTTTCCTTTTAAAAATGGGGTAAATACCAGAAGGATAAACAAAACAATGTCAAGTCCCTGGCATGGTGCCAGGTTGACAGTATGTGCTGAATAAATGTTGCATATGATGATCATCATAGTTATTATCCTGTTAATTCTCAGCTCCTCTCGGTATTAGAAATGGAGAAAAGGTACACACAAATATAGTACCATTTATCTTAATGATTTAAAATCATCTAGTGGAAAGAATCTCAGCCTTCTGAGATGATTAGCAAACTCTCTCATTATCTCTCATTATGGACAATATTAGAAAAAAATAAAATCTCTCTCAGGTTTCTGAGTACACAGGGGTTAAAGTGGGACAGGAGGACACTCTTTTGAGTTTTGTATACAAACACAATGAAATACTGTATATTAGTTGCTAAAATGTTTCTAGAAAGGTATCAGAAAACCCAGTATCTGGGTAGAGTTCCACAGCCCTCTTTTTTCAGCAAACAGCTTGCTCCCCTGGGCTACCAAAGAAACACTCTTCTTAGCAAACACAAATTACCTATTGATAGGCTAGCTTTTTCAAGGAAATATTTTATGCTTTTTGAAAGCACATTAGTCAAATATTCACAGTCATTCAAATTTCTTTGGAGGCAGAAACATTTTTTTCAGTGTAATGTGAACATAGGTTACTATACTCACTGCATGTGAAGGGTTTGAAGCTCTCCATCATTAACCAAATGAGAAACTTTTTCCAAGTTAAACATAACTTTTTTCTGTATCAGGAATACAGAGTCCTGGATAAACATACCAGCCAACACTTGTCCTAAATTATTTCTGTGTTAAGCAATCAACAAATTTAATAGGTGAGTCCTTAAAAAACCAATTAGGAATCTTTTCCTGGAAGAAATACCTCTAGGGTAATATCCAAGGTATTAAGAAGTAACATTTTCTTAATTAATACACTAGTTTAAGGAACAGCTCAGCATTCTGTTTGCTTTGCACCACTTAGGTGGATTATTTTATATTATATAGACAGACATAGAGACTATTTCTTTTTGGGCCAACGAACCACACCAAATAATGTTACATAAGTGAATTTGTATTCTTTCAGATGCCTACTACAGGACAAGTGAAAGAGTCAAGTATTAGGTTTTCTGGCCTTTCTGTTGTATAGTCAGCAGGAAAGACTATTAGTACTGTCAATGTCCAGTTATCAGTGTCATCTGTCACCAATTTCTAATGGTTCTTCTGCCTTAATATGGTTTGGTAAGTAAAATGAAATCACAATCTACACGTGTATACACAAACTAATAGAATAACAATGGGATAAAGTTATTGTTTTAAAAACAACTTGTTTCTTAATGTTGACTAATCTAATCTCAAGAAACAAATAATTTAGAAGTGCTTTAGAGATACACAGATATTACAATTGTTCATTCTGTTAATGTGCCAACTTCATTCTTATCCTTTTCTATTTTCTACTATAAAATAAAATCTATCTTTTACAATGGAGTAATCATTTAATGACTATATTTAAAGTAGAGTTTAATATTTTACAATAGTTAAATATTTTCCAAGTTAGTTACAAAAAGCTTAATGAGATGTTAAGGAAGCAATAAACTCCTATTCGATCTAATCTTGGTTTTTAATCCAAAGAATTAGGTTCTCTATACTTCTGGGAAGATTTAATGTAAGTGGATGAGTTTTCTTTTCTTTTCTTTTAACTTTTAACATTTATTTATATTTGAGAGAGAGACAGAACATGAGCAGGGGAGGGGCAGAGAGAGAGGGAGATACACAATTCGAAGCAGGCTCCAGGCTGTGAGCTGTCAGCACAGAGCCCGATGTGGGGCTTGAACCCACGAACTGTGAGATCATGACCTGAGCCAAAGTCGGATGCTCAACTGACTGAGCCACCCAGGTGCTCCAGGATGAGTTTTCTTTTAAGCTATTGGGACCTGTGAAGTTACTTTAGATCTTAAAATATTATTAATGTAGGGGTGCCTGGGTGGCTCAGTTGGTTAAGTGTTTGGCTCTTGATTTTGGCTCAGGTCACGATCTCAGTTTCATGAGTTCAAGCCCTGCGTCAGGCTTTGAGTTGACAGCATGGGGCCTGCTTGGGATTCTCCCTCCATCTTTGCCTCTCTCTCTCAATCTCTCCC